GCCCCGCGCCTTGCCAGCGCCCGCGCCCTGCGGACCAGCCCGCGACCTCGCGAGTACGCCCAGTGCCCTGCCAACTCGCGACCTGGCGGAAATTTTGGCGAGCTCGAGAGTGTTTGTGTCATTTTTGACTAAATGTGTGTGTTTTTAGTGTGTGTTTGTGGTGTAGCTATATAAAGACATTGTGCTTTGTAATTTTGGGAACAACCCCTCATTTCCCAACTTTTAAGTTGGGAAATCCTCTCCATTTTCTCTCTTCTCTCTCCTCTTTTCTTTTTCTTTCTTTTTTATGCTTTGGTTGGGAGGTTCATGACTATTTTTCCGGCGAAATTCCGGCAAGTTTATTTTCATTCAAGTTTCGAGCTTTATTCACTATTTTCGTCCGAGCATGCTATGGGAGAGTAGGTACCTTGCTTAGGCCCCACTACTTCGACTTTGCCTTTCGAATTGTGTGTTTATGCTCATTTCTTGGTTTTTCTTTATTTTTATTGCTTGCTTTTGTGTGTTAGGAATCAATACGTGCTTATCTAGTATAAAGGTCTCGACTTTGTTTAAAGCGTGATGATTTAGTGTAGAAAGCTCGTGTTAGATTACCTAGGATCACTATGCTCGCATGTTTTCTCTTGTTTTCTCTTATTTTCTTGAGTTATGGATACTCCGTGCAACCAATGTCTTGATCTCTCTTTCGATTCTTGCATTTTCATCATTTGCTCTAGTTTTTAGTGTAATTTCATGCAAATCACCCACAATCAAGCGAGTAGAATGTTTAGGACCTTCTTTTTGGTTATGTGACTTTGACAACTAGGTAGTAAACGAAACTCCGAACAGCCTTCCTTTGAAAACGACCCGAGTCGGGTAACTCGGTTACCACATGCCCAAAAACACTACAAACAATCACATGGAAATATTATTACAAAATATAAGACATGATTATAATCATTAAGTTATAATTAAATAAAAACGGATTTAGGCCGGCTGTGTTGTGTACAGCCGAAGTCAAACTAGTTATCTTAATAGACTATTACAATGTAGAATGTGAACCCATAGTTCAGAACTGAATTGGACCGGCCGGTCAAATCTATTTGACCAGGAAATTATTCCATTAGTCCATGACAAGTCTCGTTCACTGAAAACCAGTTGCATAGGACTGATCTTTGATCAGTTGAAACTTGTTAAAAACAGGTCGGCGGACTAGTTGTTATTTCAATTTATTTTTTAAACTTATTTCTAATATCATTAAATATATTTTTAATATAAATAAATTACATATCTAGATATTATATATATTATCTAGTTTAGACGTTTGAATGTTTTAGATAATTAATAAAATATTTATATATACATATATATATATATGTATATATAACTTATTATTAAAAATACTTCATATATCTAAAAATATTAATAAATTTAATATCAATTCAACCACGAGTTGGACCAGTAAACTATAGAAACAAATAGTTTGGCCAATTCAATAGATTATAGACTATTCGGTTTTCAAAATATATAAATATTTTTTTTCGGTGGTCGACTAAATATTATATAATAATTTAAGTGAGAAATTTAATATCATTTTAATATTATACAAATCCGGACCTGGTTCCAAACCAAAAGGTTCAGTCCCTAACTACCAATTTCGAAGAACCAGGTATACGACCCGTAAACCGGTTCGTACCCGAAGAAAACACCCGAATTAGGCCCGATTTAAGCCCACCACAATCCCAAGTCCCAACAAGTGGCGTTGCTGCAGAAAATTGCAAGAACAGTGCCCCTTTCAACATTTATCACTCGATCGGACAAGTATGTAAAGAAAGTGAGATTCGAGCTATCAAGGCCCTCAATCACCCCACCGAATACAGAAATAAACAAGGAAGCATTATTGCATTATTGATTTTCGATTAGTAGCTCCGAGTTTTAAAACACTATAAAACTCCTGTTCTGCTGTCCTTTTCGCGAATTTCAAGTTACTGTGCTTGTGGTAGTTTCGTCCATAACCTCAGTTTTCTGGGTCCTCATCTTCTCAAGGTATGCATCTTTACTGGATTTTTTTTTCGAATGTACTGTGCATTGTTTTCTTTTGCTGTTTATGAGTTTTTTTTTTTTATCACTTAACTATGAGAAATTTGATAGTTTAATGAGGGGTAAACTGATGTTTATTGTGGTGGTGGACTGGGTTACGTGCGTTGAGTGCAATCATGAAGTTTCTTTTATTCCGTAAATTGGTTTTTGGCTTCTAATTATTGTTTTGTTGGAAAGATTTGATTTTTACTTCAACTCTCTTCGGGTTTTGCTTCAGGAATCCTTTGATTAGTCGAAATTAATGTTTGACATTCCAATTGTTGGTTTGCCTCTGGAATTTAACCTTTACTCTTATCGTAATACTTAATGCCGATAGTTAATTGAGGTGGGAACTTGATTTTGCCATGTTCTTCATTCATTTTCAGTTCCAATCTTCCGAAAGGGACAAATTTTAGATGGATAGTGATTTAAGTCTTTAAGATGGTTGGATGTTGAAGAAAATTGAGACCGAAATTAAGCATGCTCGATTCTATGGCATGTCAAAATTACAATTTGCTATGTATTCATTTTAGTTATGCTGTTAACTGTAAGTTGCTGTTTCTATAACTTTTCCCTAGGGATATTTTCATTTTTCACTCCCTCCCTCAACCTTATTGTGTTCTCTGTGTGGTCAGTGCAAGTTGCATGATTTTGGACTCATGAATGGACACTAGTGCTTGAACTTAGATGGCAAATGCCTGTAATACATGCAATAGTATATAAGGGACGATTGTACTGAATTGTTTTGTAAACAGATGAGGGTTTACTCTTTTTCTAAGAGAGTATATATGTGTTTTTCAGCACAAATTAGAGATGTGGAAGGACACGTTAGAGTCGAAAGGCTTCAGACTTAGTAGGATGAAGACCGAGTACATGACGTGCGCTTTCAGCATGGCTACACATGATGATGGTGACGTTAGCCTTGACGGGCAAGTGGTGGCCAAGAAGGAGACTTTCCGGTATTTAGGATCGATGCTACAAAAGGATGGTGGCATTCATGTTGATGTTAGGCATAGAATTATAGTCGGTTGGTTGAAATGGCGTCAAGCTTCGGGCGTTCTCTGTAATAAGAGGGTGCCACAAAAGCTAAAAGGTAAGTTTTATAGGACGGCGATTCGTCCGGCGATGCTATACGGTGCTGATTGTTGGCCTACAAAAAGGCAACATGTCCAACAACTAAGTATAACATAGATGCGTATGTTGCGTTGGTTCTGCGGGCACGGGATAGAATTCGGAATGAGGATATTCGAGATAGGGTCGGGGTGGCTCCAATTGAGGAGAAATTGGTTCAACATCGGCTGAGGTGGTTCGGACATGTCCAACGGAGGCCTCCTGATGCACCTGTGCGTAGGGGGGTTCTACAGCGGGTTGATGATGTAAAGAGAGGTAGAGGTCGGCCTAAACTCACTTGGGAAGAGTCGGTTAAGAGAGACCTTAAAGATTGGAATATCTCCAAGGATTTAGCGGTGGATAGGAGCGCTTGGAGGCTAGCAATTAACGTGCCAGAACTGTGACTTTTGCTCCTTTCTCTTTTGCTCCAATCTCTTCCTTTTGTTTTTGAGCCCTTTTTGTGTTTCTCTTACCATTAGTTGTCTTGGGTTTCATCTCTAGCCTACCCCAACTTGCTTGGGACTAAAAGGCTATGTTGTTGTTGTTGTAGTATATATGTGCTTCCTTTGTGTATCTTGTTGGTTGAAGTGTGTGGTCATACTTTGTTTTACCGACTATTTTTTCGATCCGTCTTGTATTGATTGGCAGAGCCGGCTTTTGGGGGGAGCAGGGTGAGCAACTGCACAGGGCCCCCAATTAATTGGGGCCCCATATATAAATATTAAAATATTATATATATAATAGTATAAATAAAAAATATAATAATATATAGAAAGAGCCTTTTGTGTTTTGTCTATCCGGGGGAGGTTCTTTCCTACTTGAGAAGTGGAAGTTGTTATTAATAAAATATTAAAAATATATTATTCAATATTGTAATTAGGAGGGCCTAATTTTATTTTTCGCTCTGGGCCCAAAAATGTTGGAGACGGCCCTGTTGATTGGGAAGTAGTTTGGTTTTTTGTTTCTAGTGAAACCAGCTAGAGATTTAGGCTATGTTTGGTAAATCTAGTTGATAAGCTAGCTTATAACTTATCAGTAATTTTTGAGCTCATAGCTTATGACTTATAGCTGAAAAATTAGCTTACATGATAAAAGTGTTTGGTAAAATTAGCTGATAGGTTAGCTGAAATAAAAATATTAACCAGCTTATTTAAATAAGCTACTCAAACAAGCTTACCAGATAAGCTCGAGTTTATAAGCTAACCAAAGAAGCAAGCTGTAAGCTTATCTACCAAACATACATTTATATGTGGTGAAAAAATAAAATAAAATAAAATCTTTGTGTATGCTTGCGCAATGATTATTTTCTTCACTTCTTTAGAGAGATTGAAATAAATCTCCTCAAATATGAACTATTTTTCCATAATTGAGCATTGGTATAATCCTATCTCGTTGTCTATCTACTTGCCATTGATCTTAATTGCTTCCCAGTGGTGAATTGTGATCTATTCTGTTCTCATGATGATTTGACGTGAATGATCTTCACTGAGATATTGTTTTGCAATGTTTAAGCTCATTTTATTAGCTCAAGCTAAACGAATCACTAGGCAGCGATGGTTTGTACTTTGATTTTTCTTGCGTTTAGAGTTTTCTAATGGAAAATTTTGCGTGACAATCATTTATTGCGGGGAATAACACTGAAAATAGCAATGATATTTAAAATCCCGAAGAAGAAAGTCAACGGGACGGCATTGACTTGTTGGTTTCTGATTCAACGGATTTAGACTCTTCCTGAGATACAAACAGAAGGAAGTAACAATGATGACGATGTTGCTGCAGAATAAAAGATATAGTTTTTGGTTCTGTTAAAGTTTATAACCCTTTTTTTTTTTTCGAATCATCGGTCTCTAATAGAAATATTGTGGTGTTTTTTTTCGAATCATGGGTCTCTAATAGAAATATTGTGGTGTTTTTTTTCCTTTTCCCCTACTTTTTCTGAGGCTGAAATGTTTATATTTCTGTGGGGTGGGTACTTTTGGTTTCTCATATAATCTGTAAAATCAGTTAATCTAACTGTTGGTTGGATTACAGTTTCTCTCATTCTTCAGGAGACAA